TTCTTATCCCCCATAAACTCCAATAATTGTTTACCTCTGTTGCACAGCTCAGTATCATAAACTTCTCTAAACTTAAATAAATTTACACCATCTAATAACTCATCAGGAATATCACCCTCAGCACTAATATGTGCGTTAAAATCCCCCCCCAAAACGATTGGCACGTTAGGAAACGAAGCCGAGAAAGAATCTAATAGAGTATCGAGCAATTCAATCTGTTGATCAAAAATTGGAAAAATTGAAGAGTGAGGTCGCTGTATCAACATCTATGACTTCCAGTAAACTTGCAGCCCTTGAGACCGAATTGTTGACCTGTAAAGCTGAGTTTTCTGCTTATAAGCTACCCCCTGAGGTGTCTGCCAGATTTTCTGCCTTAGAGAAGTCTCTAGAGGAATTGAAATCTTCTTCTGTCTCGCCTCAGGATTCCCAGGGTGATGCGTCGGCTTTCAAGAAGTTTGAGGATCTGAAATGGAATGTCGAGTTGCAGGAGCGCTTATTGAAAAAAAGAAATATCATTATTCGGGGTTTGAGTGTACAGTCTGATGTGGCACAGCAGGAGGTTGACGCATTCCTCAGCTCTAGGTTCAAGGTCAGTAATCCTCCATCTGTTGAAGTGAGATTGATTGGCAAAGACAAGAAGTCTATCTTGGTGAAGCTTCGTAATTTCAACGACAAGCTTGAGATTTTTAGAAGCAAGAGAGTCATTCTTGGGGGGCAGCAAATATACATTGACGGTGACTCTACTCAGATGGAGAAGTCCTTGCAGGCTAAACTGAGGGCTTTGGCCAGACTCGAACGTCAGAAGGGACATACGGTAAAGGTGTCAAGAAATAAAATTGGAATTCAGGACCAGGAGTGGTCTTGGGATGAGAGAGCCTGCAAATTTAATCCTGTTAATGACCCTGCCCAGTTGTGTGCTGGTAGTGGTCACACGCCACATTTTCAAGACGTCGATCACCAAAGAGAGGGGCCTCCTACCAGAGGCGTTGCCAGTCAAATGGAGGTCAGATATATGTGACCTTTTGGAATGTTAAGAACATCAAAACAAATTTGTCTCAACTTCCGCATCCATCCGATTTTGATGTCATTGGACTCACTGAGACATTTCTTTTGTACGAGTGGAAGAGACTACCTGCTGACTTCATGGACTTCTACCCTATTTGGTCGCCTGCAGTCAAAGTTCACTCTCATGGGAGAGGCAGCGGTGGCATCCTGATGATGGTGAAGAAGAAGCATGGCGTTCCTGTTCTGCTTCATCGTAGTGAAAACTGGATTTTTATTAAGACTGAAATTTTTGGTAATATTGTGATCTTTGGGACCTTTTATTTTATTCCTAAGGTAAACATCGAGCCAGCTTTAGAATTGCTCGAATTTTAGAAATAAGGTCAAATTGATTTTAATTCTTCAGAATTCAATTCGAATGGATAATTCCTGTTAACATTTTTTATTTTTATGAGTGATATTAATTCATTTGTGTTTTTTTTTAGTTTGGACGATTCCCCCCTCCCCTCCTATTTGAAAGTTTCCAGTTTTTCCCTGAAGATCTCCAACTCCACCGAGGATCTCCAATTTTCAACTGAAGATCTCCAACTCACATTGAAAATCTCCAGCTCATTCCGAAAGATCTGCAGCTCATTTCGTAAGATCTCTAGCTCATCCCGAAAGATCTCCAGCTCATCCCGAGAAATCTCCAGCTCACATAGAAGGATTTCCAACATTCCATCGAAAAATCTCCACTCAATTCATTCAAATTATACCAGTAATGTGAGTCCCAATTAATAATTTTTTGTTCCTTCTTTCGGAAGAAACAGATTCTTATCTGACAACGTCCGGACGCGATAGTAAATCATAAATTGATTTCTTTGATTTTTTTTTTATTTGGTTGAGGAATAAATCCTCTCATTTGATTTTCTCTTTGTAGAATTGATCAGAATCTATTCTTCGATTTATTTTTGATTTTCGTTGAGGAATAAATCCTCTAAATTGATCTGTTTTGTTAAAGAATTGAATAGAATCAATTCTGTTGATTTATCTTGATTTCTGGTTGAGGAATAAATCCTCTAAATTGATTTGTCTTGTTGAAGAATTGAATAGAATCAATTTTTTCGATTTATTTCGATTCATTTTTATTCTGGTTGAGGAATAAATCCTCTAAATTGATCTATCTTGTTAAATAATTGAATAGAATCAATTCTATTGATTTATCTTGATTTATGGTTGAGGAATAAATCCTCTAAATTGATTTTTCTTTTATAGAATTGATTAGAGTCAATTCTTTCGATTTATTTCGATTCATTTTTATTCTGGTTGAGGAATAAATCCTCTGAATTAATTTTTTTTGATTTTTACGAATTACTTTCATCGAAGAACGAATCCTCTTGATTAATTTTGTTTTTACGAATTACGTTCGTTGAGGAATGAATCCTCTTGATTAATTTTTGGTTTTACGAATTGTTTTCATGGAGGAATGAATCCTCTTAATTAATTTTGTTTTTACGAATTACTTTTGTTGAGGAACGAATCCTCTTGATTAATTTTATTTTTACGAATTACGTTCGTTGAGGAATGAATCCTCTTGATTAATTTTTGGTTTTACGAATTATTTTCATTGAGGAATGAATCCTCTTGATTAAATTTTATTTTACGAATTATTTTCGTTGAGGAGCGAATCCCCTTGATTAATTTCCATTGTTAAGGATCGTTTTAGCTGAGGAATAAATCATCCTTAATTATCTTTCAACATTAAGCGTCATTTAACCGGGAAATAAATTTCTCTTGACTAATATCAATTTTAGAATCGATTCATGAAATAATTCTTCGCGAATAATTTCGATTTTAAAAATCAAATCTTTGTTTTGATCATCCTTTAAGTCAATTCATTTTCTTTTAAATCAAATTTACTTGATTTTCGAATTACTTGATTATGATAATTATCTATATTTTCAATCCCAAATATGTTTGTCGATTGAATATTCCTTCAATAGTTTTCTTTATTGTAATATTTAGATCGAATCCCGATTGTACATCAATTATTGTTATTCATTGAAACCTCTACATTTGTAAATGGAGAAATCTTTTTTATTTAATTCCTTTGATTTTGATTTTCGGAGATTGAAACTCCTTGTTATCTTTGATTCAAATTTCCAATTGTTAAATTTTTGTTTTTCTCAACCCAATTTAATTTCAATCTTAATGAGATTTTCAGAAGGAAAATTCATTAATGTTTTATTTCAATTCAAAAATAGAGTCAATTTAGATTCAGTTCTCGATGATTAAATTTATTATGATCAAAAGTATTCAACTTTTGGCATAATTCATTTATTTATACTGTACATTGGTACATGGTACCATTATTACAGGGGGGACCATAAGTATAACATAAGTAAATCATAAGCACGAACAACATTATAATATGGTAAAGTAAATAAGTATGGTAAGTGTATCAAAAATGCCTCGTGAATGGAAGGTAAAAAGAAAAAAGAAAATTAATTAAAAGAGAAGCAGAATAAAAAAGTACAGCAGTGGCGACGACTGGTTAATCATTCAGCAGTGACGATCTAAGTTGGAAGCAGCTCTTAGCAAAACAAAACAGGTTCCTATTGGTTACAAAATCGTTATCATTAAGAAACGCAGAAATGCAAGAAACAGTTAAGAAGTCTGTACCTGTTATGTATGATGGAAGGAAGTGAAGCCTGAGAGGGAGGTAGATGGGGCAGGAAAACAGGATATGGTGAAGGTTCTCCAGGGAGTTCAGGCGGAAGATGGTGCAGATTTGGTTAGGGTCAAAATCGTATAATACCTTGTCGATTAGGATTCTTCTAGTGTGTAACAATAGCCAATCTGTATTTTAGTTCTGATGAATTTGATGGGACATCTCTCTGGATAGAATATGTCAAAATTGTCGAAGGGATGCCGGGAAATCGGGAGTTGGACCGATGAAGAGGAGCAAAAACTTCGGTAATCGTCAAATTGCAACTTGGCTTTGAGTACTGACAAAATGTCAGGAATTCTAGACTCCCACCAGACCGGGGAGAGATTATCCCAGAGATTATCACAGTTGATTCCTGAGAGGGATCTCTTTAATTGAAGAACCCAGTTGTAAGAGTCAGAAGTGCTGGAGATGCTGGCTTTAGCCAGCGAGAATTGACGAAGCAGGCAAATTTTCGGGAGCCTATCAGAACTCATGTAAAGGACTTTCAGTACCCAGCGAAGAGCGTGTTTAATAATCTCATAGGTTACGTGAACAATGCCCGTCTCCAGTCGGACGAGGTATCCAGGTGCATTCACCGGTAGATGGAAAAGTCTCTTCAAGAAGTGAAGTTGAGCCGTCTCCAGGTTGTCCAAATAGTTCAGTCCCCAGATGGAAGCAGTGTAAATCAGCGTAGAAGTCACCACACTTGAATAGAGTTTGTGAATGGGTTCCCAGGAGTCAGCTCTGAACCTTGGTATCAGACGGAGCACCACCCCAGCGGCACGCTTGGCTTTGAGGATAGCAGCTCTCGTTGCCAATAGTCCCACGGCAGATGATGAAAATTCCACGCCCAAGTATACATAGCTCTGGACTATTTCCACTGGAGAATCGTATAGTTTGAAGTTGTGATTAGCAGACGGCAATGGACCACCTCTCCTAAAAATGACCACCTTGGTTTTGGAAATGTTGACAGTGAGCTTATTAAGACCACAGTACTCTTCCAGGATCGGCAGCTTCTTCTTCAAGTCAGCAGAGCTGGATGCGAGGATGATGAGATCGTCCGCGTAGAGCAGTAAAGCAACTTCCGAGCGTCCGTCAATGTCAAGTCCAGAGGCACCCCTGGCACGGAAGAAGTCAGCAATGTCCGAGAGGAAGAGGTTGAAGAGCAAAGGGCTGAGTTTTTCACCCTGTAGCACACCCTCGCTGACGTCAACTGGATCAATGAAGCCCTCTGATGTTCTGATGGCCATAGTGGAGTGGTCATAGAGGCTCTTCATCACTTTGATCATTTTAGTGCTGACACCGATCTTCAGCAACCTCTGCCAGAGAAGGCAGTGAGAGACTTAAAAGCTCGCCGGAAGTCGACGAAAAGTCCATACACTTTGCCACCGGCGAGTCTCAACTTGTTGTGGAGCGTCATTTGGAGCGTCGTGATGTTGTCCATGGCCCCTCTTCTCTGCCTGAAGCCGGCTTGTTCTTCCGGGATAACGTGGTGAGCCTCAGCCCAGGCATAGAGCCTGTCATTCAGGATGGAAGTAAAAACCTTGGTGATGTTGTTCACCAGCGCTATCCCCCGGTAATTGAGAGGATCTGACACATCCCCCTTCTTGTGGATCATGCAGAGCACCATGCTGGTCCACGAGTTGGGCACAACCCCCAGTCTGTACACAACGTTGAAAAGATCCAGCATAAACACCATCCAATCCGCTGGCAAAGCGTTGAGGAAGCTATTGGTGATCATATCTTCTCCAGGGGCTTTACCAGGTCTCGCGTGCTTGATACTTCTCGAGAGCTCCAACATAGAGATATCAGAGTCCAAATCGGAGTCAGTAGTGTCGAGCAGACTGAATAGATACTCTGATCTTGGAGGATACATATTCTGAAGAAACTCATTCCATCTCACCAGGTTGATACCCTCATTTCTCTCAGGTCTATCTTTAACGGAAGCCACTGCCGACCAGAAGGCGATCGGGTTTCTCAAGTCAAAGAATCGATCAGCTAATTCCTTCTCGTAGGCGGCCTTCTTGGACTCTATCAGTTTTTTGTAATTCTTCATGTTACAGTCGAAATCATTTGCTGCAGGCTTGTTGAAAACGGGTTTGTACACATTTCTGAATAGATTGTGAACTTTTTTTTTCTTGCGAGCACAGTCACGATCGAACCAGGGGTTTTTTCGATCTATCACTGGGGGGGAATGTCGGGGTTTTGCCATAACCTTGGACATTCCACACTCGAGAGCAGCAATACGTATAGCTTCAGTGAGAGTGGTGGAGGTAGCCTCGATGTAATCCCTTGAGGAAGCCTCAAGAGGGCTCGAGGGTGATCCAATGGCAGTAACGAAGTCCTCTTCTCTGGAGGGCTGCCAGACTAAGGAAGCCACACGGGCGGTCGCTGATTCAGATGGAGAAGTCGGCGTCTGAGGTTTGGGACTAAGGTCCAGATCACCGGCAGCTTCATTGGAGATGCGAAGCTTCACCGAAACAGGAAGATGGTTGGAACCGAGGAGATCAGAGGACACCCACATGTCCTCCACCCACTGAGACTTGTCGTGATTGACCCAGATCATGTCGTATGCTGAGGGGCTCTTGGAACTCGTAAATCTAGCTGGAGAGTCAGAGGGAGCCCTGCCATTGAGAAGTATGAAGCCATTTTCAGGCATAAAGTCCATTAAGAACTCACCTCTAGCATCAGTATCTTTAACCAAGTAATTACGATTCTCGAACAGGGTCGTACCTTGGACCTCCTCAGGGGAAAGATCATCCTCGAACTCAGCAACAGTTGCATTGACATCACCATCCAAGATGAGAATGTCATCGGGAAATTTGGAGAAAGTCTCATCCAAGGATACCTGAAGCATTTCCAGAACGTAATCCAAGTCTAGCGAGGGTTTGAAGTATAAGGAACCCATCGTGGCAGTCCAGGAGTGCGTTCTAAGACGGAAGAGGGTCTACCATGGTGTGATCTCCACGATCTCAGGATTCAAATCGTTGTTAATTAGGCACAGAAGACCTCCGCTCCCTCTACCTCTGAACTTGTCCTTGATAGCTGGAGCCCATATGCTGAGGTGAGCTCGGAGGGAGTGTGGAATAATGTACTGGGACTCCTGAAGGAGCATAGTTTCTGAGAAGCAATATACATGGGAAGAGACATTGTAATCGTTGAGACGAATGTTACCTGAGCCGCAAGAGTTCCAGAAGGTGATGTCGAGGCTGTAGTACGTTAGAGGTTTTTTGGAACCGGAAGAGAGGCTGAAATCCGAGAGCTGGAGTTGGTTTTCTGGTTTGTTTGGGAGACCTGCCTGCTGGGAGATGAAATCTTAATGACAAGGCGGTCAGTGTTATAGTCCCATGTCCACCAAACACCATCCACTTGGAGCTTGCAGTATCCTATCTTAACTTTTTTACCCTGCGTTTTTAGCGCTTTTGCTGTCTCTCTGATGGAGTTGTAAATCGTCTGGTCACGAGGGGTGAGGTCAGGCTCGATGAACACACGGCTTACATTGGAGTCCTTCAATTTCGATTTTTCCTTCATTACCTTATTCCTCACATCAATGTCAGTTAGTTTGGCAATAACAAAACGAGATTTATTCCCCACCACCGTGACCTCTGTAGCTCCATTCCTTATTGCAAAATTATCCATGAGAAATTTATTAACTGATGCTAGGGGGGGAGCAGCCTCCAAATTCAGACCCCTTATTGCGATATTCCTAGCTCTGAGTGCTCTATCTTGATTATTCAGCTGTCTTTTCAGGTCTACGATCTCCGTCTTGAGAGATAGGACGTTGGGTCCATTTGCTGAAGAGTCTTCGAGCTTTTCCAGCCTCTCTACAAATTGTTGCGGCACAGGAGCCTTTTGAAACTCAATAAATTTTGACTCCAGGAGGGAGATTTTACCTGACAGCTCTGCGATTTGTTTCGATGTTTGGGCCTCCCTGGATTCAATGATCTTTTTCAGTTCGTTGAGTTGTTGCTTGAGGACGCTGTTTCCATCCCTCAATGAGGACTCGATGGCCTCTGTTCTCGCTTTACCCGTGATGCGAATCTCGTTCATTTTAGAGAGCAAAGTCCCCAACATATCTTGCTCAGACGCATTTTGTAGTAGGTCATCGAGGTCGGCCTGGGGGATGGGTTCTGGATGGCAGGGGAGGGTAGAAGGGACTAGACCAGGTGGATTTGAGGGTTGAGGAGGAGGAGACATCCTTGAGGGAGAGAAGGATAGGTCGGTGGGAGAACTGAGACTCCTGTTCAGTATTTTTTCCTTCTTAGGGGGTGAAGAACGAAGGACAACACTGAAGAGCTTCCTTTTTTTCTCGTTGACAAAGTCAGAGAGAGAGCAAAGTGAGGATGCTCTGGCCTTGCGTTCGAGGCTTACTACTTTGCGCGGCCTACCTCTTGGATTTTTCGATGACTGCGGATTCGTGTCCTTTGGAGTGGAACAGGCAGGTGATGGTGAAAATATGTTATGCCAGGGGTTGATGTTTGTTGTGACAGGAGTCTTAACCTCTTTCGGGCTAGAGGCGAGATCACTTTGGAGAGGAATTACTGTAGGTGAGGAGTGGTCGAAGAACGAGGGGTTCTCGGAGGCATCAGCGTAGTCCGACGAGGGCTGTGTAATCTCGTCCACAGAGGCCGAATCCTTTAAACTACCTCCGACGTTCATGCCAGCACGTGGTAAACACGCGAGCTAACCTCCAATTAACTCCGCGGCCACATATTATCAGGAAAACTTAAGAATCAGAGCACCAGCAACCATAAAAAATGGGTCAAAAGTATCTTGAAAAGTTACTCAGTCTGAATGACGTGTACTATCAATAATGTTGTTCGAAAAACTGACGGCTTTTACTCAAATTATAAGAGCAGTAAAATAATCCAACCAGTGCCGTACAATCCAGGAACGGAACCCACTTTTGGCATAATTAAATGAGACAACACATCAACTAAATAATATTTTTTTTAAATCTTCCGATAACAAGGAGTTAATATTGAAATAAATTTTCGATCAACATAAAATAAAATTCACCTATAATTTAATAGTTAAATTCAAAAAAAGGAAGATTCCTTCATCTCAACATAAAATTATATTGTTCAAAAGAAACTTTTGAAAATTGAATTAAATTAATTTTTAACAATTTAAAACATTTATTTATTTCTAGAATAAGTTGTGACCTTTTCCTAATTTCAATTAAATTAATCCCTGAAATGATGAGAGGGTAATTGAAAGAAAAGGGCAAATAAGGGGTTAAGTTTAAATCATGAAATATATTCTGTGAACTTTACAATTAATAGATCGTCAGAAGACGTCAAAAAGGCCTTTTGCTCTGATCTAGGGAAGTGGGGGAGGCCAGGCAACTTTTGTACACGTAAAAAGGGGATGACTCTAATGCAGATAAAAGGGGAGAAGCTAGTCGTGTCGAGGGAATGCAACTAAATATCCAAATAATAACTAAAGGGGAAGAAACAAGAGAGTGTAGGCTCACCGGTGGGGGGGATTGGAAAGAAATATTGTTTGAGGCGAGGGGGAAATGAGGGGGACAACTGGTACTTACGACTTCCAGGTGTGGTCTGGACTTCCAAAAACTAATCCTGGTCCTTCCGCAACTCCTGTGATAGAGCCTCCGTTCCTCCTCTCTGAATCCAGGGGCACAGTATCTAGAGCCGGGATGAGCTCGGCCACCAAAAATCCTCTTTTCTCCAACACAACGGTCCAATGTACAGACTTCGGGGTATTTGCACTCTCTCGTCGACTAACTTGGGACGCACGTGGCAGTGTCCAGGACAGCGGTTACAGGAGTGCCGCTTCTTCTCTCTTCCGTCTTTTCCTTCGTCTCGTTCGTGAGGATTCGCGACTAGTCGAGATCCTTCTGGTCATCTTCGTGGGTGATCGGGGCCAATCATGGTGGTTAGATTGTGCCCACGGTCACCATCCAGGGATGTGTTGATGGGGATTATCGAGGGCGGTGGGTTGTCTGGGCCTATGTATGGGTGGTTTTGGGGGGCAACGGCTCCTTCGGTTGATCAAATAGAGCCGGAACTGTTATCTTCCTTCGGCGGCTGTCGTCGTAGACTCCAGGGGCGAGGGTAGAGGGGTAATGCGGGGAAAATCGAGGGAAGGGGTATCCAACGGTGGCGGGATTTTACTATTTAGGGGGCAGTGTGTAGTTGGGCAAAAATGTGTGTAAAAATAATAGAAAAATAAATAAATATGCCTCGTCACAAAGTCAAAAGTCACCAAACCTATCCCAAGCTATTTCCGAAAGGTAGGCTTAAAACAGGTAAAAATTCTTTAATGTTATGATTTTAAAAGCAAATAACAGGTAAGTCTTCGAAAATCATGACGTAGCAAATTGACAAATGTGATGATTGAAAATTGTTGAATCTATACTGTTTGTATCCAACTATAAAAGATACTTGGATATTCTTAACCGGTTTTACCGCCTCGTTACTGAATTGAAAAAAAAGAAAAGAAAAATAGTTTCATTCTATGGAATCTAACGAACATTGAAAAGAAACAGTTCAAGTCGAATGGAAATCGTGGTGCGAGGAGCATTTAAAAGCCAAAACCTCGAAACACGAGGTTTTACCTCTACGTAAGGAGCAAAAAGGGTTGAGCCTCAGAATTTTCCATACTATTTTAGGTACTTCATAATATACTAAGAGTCGCTCCAATATTCTTATCAACTGGAGATTCCCATGTTTCATCTTGGTACCCCATCAAGAACCCAAAGGTTCTTAATTTAAGACTTCTTATTCGAAATATGGTTACAAGTCGTAGTGTTTTTTTTTATTTGACCCTCAACAACTGTTGATCCTTCCGATTACTTCCCTATTTGACCCTGAAGCATGTTTGACCCCTCAAAAACAAAATTTGCTACCATTCCACTTTGCCCCGCGTTCAACTTTGCCCCACCGTTCCACTTTGCCCCACCGTTCCACTTTGCCCCGGTCTCCCCTAGAAATTACAATTAAAATTTCGAGATCTTATAATTCGATGTAAATTATTGATTCTCAAACGATTATCGATCCATTTGCCCTGTAAAATTCTTCTTTTTGTCTTTGATGAGGTCTCAAAGCCTCCAACCATCATTTCATTTGTAAATATTCCACATTTTTCTTTCATGAAATTATATTTTCTTTATTATTGTATCTAAAAATGTGTTTTTCTTTGTGTGTGAGTGGAAGTTAATTACAAGGTGGGAGTATCGTCCTCCCTCCCCCTCGTAACAATAGGGTCTACTCTAAAACCTGAGCTACCAACTATTAAATTTCAATTAAAAATAATTCTGTTCTTCATTCTAAATTCTCCCCCGAACGTCACAATACAACAGAAGAGAAAACTCATCGGGCTCTACCCTCGCGATCGTAACTTCGGAATAAGTTACTAGCCCTTTCCGACATTCCGTGGGATAACCCGAGTTATCCAGAGCTTCGCCAAGTACGAATACCTACGTAAAGGGTTGTCTCTGACGAAACGGTCGGTGAACTGCGTATCGTTCACTATGTTCTCATAAAATAGTGCAAGGACATATTATTGGAAAATTATTGAAAAAAAAATAGGCGCACGGACACAGCTATTCCAAAATTCGAATGCAAATCATGAAGTGAAATAAGGAATATAAACTTAGATATAAAATTAAGTGACATGAACTGAAAAACAGAAGACTATTAAAGCAACTGGAAAAGTATTTTGGACAATTTTCAAGTATTAGTTCGTACAAAATTCTTAAAACAATTTATTTATTTAGGCCTTTTCAACTTTTACCAAAATGATCAAGACTAATCAAGATCTGTAACTCAATATCAATGAAACCTTCAACTTCGATGGAGTTCTCTCTCTCCGTTGGTTTCTATTCTTGTTGAATGAATAGTACATTACATGCCCGAGCCTTGGAAAACAGATCACCGTCCCGCACGTGCAAGATTGCCTTCCGAGCCGAAGGCGATCACGTTCCGAAAGAAGCACGTGGGGGAGGGTGATATGTTTTCCATGGCGAGGTGTGTATATTAATTTTCGTGTGGTGGGACCTGCAAAACGCCAATTTCGTGGCGCGCAGCCTATGGGGCGCAGCCTAAAATGGGGTTTTTCAGATCCCGTGACGCGAAAAATCTTTTCAAGAAATAAATATCAAAATTGAGTTTATTCAAATCTCTTATCTCATCATTTCAAAACCTGACTCCATTATTATTATTATCCATATTTATAATCAATATTAAAAAGAAGGCTGAACAATTAGTGCAGATGGCACCTAGTGCTTCAAAGATAAGGATCCACTAACACTAAATATTATTTTATCCCCATAATTGGAAAATTAATGATGACTGATTTAATATTTAATTAAATTCGTTATTGAAAATTTTCCTGTTATCACACCGTACATTACCCGTGCGTCACCCGTATTTGGTGCGACTAGTCACACCGTAATACTTTACTGATGGAAACTAATTGCGATATAACCAAAATTCCAATAAATAATAATGATTTCGTTATCACTGACGATTTAGATATAATAGATGTAATGGGGGCACACAATCGAAGAGTCAATTCTTCCCGATATTTAAATGAAAATACTAGACTGAAAGAACTCATTGATACTAAAGTTAATGTCTTTAAAACTGGAATGATTTCAGATATAATGAATAGAAGAACAGTAACAACCTTCAGTCAAAATAATCTGGCAACTAATGCGAAAAATAATGACGAGTTTGAGAATTATTTCACATCTCCATCTAAAGTGAAACTCATATTAAAATATCTTCCAAATAAAATCTCTAGTGGAATAGACAAAATCTCCCCAATCATAATTAAACACTTACCAGAAGTCATGATTATTGATTTAATGAAACTATTTAATAACGCTCTGAATAATTATTATTTTCCAGAAGAATGGAAAACAGCTCTAATTATTCCGATTTATAAAAAAGGGAAAACTTTGAATGAGCCTGCCAGTTATCGCCCAATTAGCATAACCCCATCACTCAGTAAAGTGTATGAAGCAATTAGTAATAATTGAATTTTTCATTTCAAAAAGGAGAAAAAAGTGATTCAGGACAACCAGTATGGATTCAGATTTAATCACTCAACTCTACACGCAGTGAATAAATTTATTTCTGACGTTAAAGAGGAAATTTTTCAAAATAAAATGGTTGGAGCTCTACTCTTGAACTTAGAAAAAGCATTTGATTCTATCTGGTTGAACGGTCTCACATACCTTCTATTAAAAACAAATTTCCAACTCATTTAATAGGAACCATTTGGAACATGACTCACGATAAAAAATTCAAATTCATTTAATCATAGCAACATATTAAGTTCGACTTTTAATATCATAGAAGGTTTTCAACAAGGCACAATAAATTCTCCATTCCTTTTCTCACTTTTCACAGCGCATATGATCGACACACTTTTGAATTAAATAAAAACAATGGTACGCACTCAATTGCATATGCAGACGACAAAATCATTTATGTTTCCGGAAAAATGGAGACACAATTAGTAAGACATTGAACTCTCTCGTCAATAAAGTTAATAACATGTATTCGGCATGGAATCTTAAAGTAAACCCGGATTAGAGCGAAACAATATTATTCAGATACCCCATTGCACATATGTCATAAAAACAAAGAAACAGCATTAAGAATTTTGAAATAAAAATAAAAAACAATAATACAAATTAAGAATCAGTGATTCCACACAAAAATGTTGCTAAATATCTACGTATAAATATTGATTATTTTATTCGCTGTTCGAAACACGCAGACATTCAAATTGAAAAAGCGCGTAATAAATACAAATCCCTAGAATTTTTATTTCATAATAAGCACATTAATATTACACGTATGAAAAAATGCTATAGGAAACCCTATGGAGAATTCGAACATTTCCTATAGGATTTTTCTGATAAGATTTCCTGTCGGATTTCCCACAGCATTTCCTATAGGATTCCCTATAGAATTTCCCATCAGATTTATGACCCTAATCCTGACCCTTGTGACCGATTGCTTTCGAGTCTCAATTTTGTGTGTTACTTTCTATAGAAAACCCTATAATGAATTCTACAGGAAATCCTATAGAAAATCCTATAGGAAATCCCACCAGAAAAATCTTATACGAAATGTTCGAATTCTCCATAGGATTTCTTATAGGAAATCCTATAGGATGTTTTCATACGTGTACAGCCAGAGTGATTTGTTACCTTTTACTAATCAGACCCTTTTTGACTTATGGTGCTGAAATCCTCTGTAATTTAGGCGACCATCAAGCTGAATGTTTGAGACCCTTTGAGAGAAAATGTCTCAGAACCTTCCTATTTCTATATCGTTCAGAACGTTCGAATTACCAGCACAAACTTAGTAATCAATACCTATATGATCGGTCGCAGATCCCAAGAATAGATAATTTCATGCTAAAACTTGCGAGAAATTATTATGAAAAACTAAAAAACATTGATAACGAAACAATAAAGTCACTCGCGGAACCCAATACTTTACATATTATGATAAGATTGACCTTTTTCAAGACGAAAGGAATAGGCCAATCCTTTATCATATTTCAAGATACCAAAAGTTAATTTTCTGTTCCAGGGAAATAACTGAAGTTGATATTAACGACTTCTATAGAATCACAAAAAAATACTGGTGGATTGACAATAATGATAAATTTATTATTGTTAACAGCTGCAGAACAAATGTAAAAAGAACAAAATAATAATCGCAACAGAACTCAAAATAGGATAAGATGGAATAATTTCCGCCCTCCTTAAAATTTCTATGTTATACTTAAGAATTATTAGTTAATAAAAAAGAAGACTAAAAATTCAACTCAGTAATGCAAGATTTAGTAAAATTAGATGAAACGATCTCTGTAATTTCATCGATAAGTTATTCATTCTTTATTACAATTCACAAATTTAATTATTATCAAAAAATGGGATTTCTTGTATAAACTTTTAATTATACAAAAATTCGTTTTTTCTACCTTTGTCATTATATAAGCGCCTGTATTTTTTCTCACACTCCAAGTACAAACAAATTCCGGCTTTTTTTTAGGGGGCCCAAGAAAAAAAAATTTCTATAATTAAAAATAATAGTTGCTACTGAATAGAGCACACATCACAAAATATTGCTATGGAAACATCAAAATTAAAACCATTACCATGTTCAAACTCGAGTCACAAAGTGACCATTGTTTGTTATAAATCAGATATTATCCGTTAATTTTTTTATATGCCGGTTTTTTTATGTAAATACGGCAAATATTTGTAAATATCATGATGTGTTGTTGAATAAAAACATGGTTACAAAAAAAGTTGAATCGCTCGGCTGGACGACGGGACCTGTGGGGCGCGAGTTCGAGTCCGGCTTAAGGGAATTGGGATTTTTAATCTTTCGGAAACCGTCGAACGGAAATCTAGACAGCGAGAATCATCGGAGAAGTGTTAGGAAAACATTCTCTGATGAAGCTTGGTCGATAGACGTCCTTGTCGCCCAAGATTTTCCATGGTTTCCTTTGTTAAAATTAGATGAGACGATCTTTGGTCACCAGGAGAGTTTGTACGTGGGGTACAGCTCCTCGGGTACAATGCGACACGATTGGAGAGGAGGTCGGCTCATGAAACCGGAAATATGTAAGAACTCGAATAGGGTATATATGGCAAGAAAAAAAATCCATAAAAATATTTTTTATTTTGAAAAACTGCAAAAAATCTTGAGAGTTTTTCAATAAAATAAGGAAATATAGAAAAACTGGTAGAATTTTCTGGGGAATTTGATAGGTTTTTAACTTCCCGGGCAGGGAAGTTATTGTAATGCCCCCGAAAATGAAAAATCGATTTTCCATGATATCTCCACGTTTCAAGGTGTTTCTAATGTTCCTTGATAGTTTGTAACAAAATGTCTGTGGGTGTGTGTGTGTGTGTATGTGTTACTTTGTACGTATGTGTTCAAAATTTTGGTCAACGATTTCTCGCGAACGAATGGTCCGATTTAACTTTTTTTTTCTCCAATCGATACGTCTTCATGTAAGTTAGACCGGATTAGATTTTGGTTGATATTGGTCTGATGGTTTTCGAGTTATTCCAGAACGAAAAATTCAAAATAAAAAAAAATAACCAAAAATTTCTCATTCTCATAAGATGCTTATAACGAACGATTATAATGAAGAAAAGCCCTTCATTTTCTCCAATTTTTTAAATATATTTTTCACCATGATATTTCTTCCATTTTTTTCTAATTTTTTATTTATTTTATCAACTTCCCGATCCATCGGGTAGTTATTGTAATCACCCTGAAAATGAATCATTAGTTTTTTGTGATTTATCCACGTTTCTCGGTGTCTAAAACACTTCTAAACAACACGTCTGTATGTGTGTGTGTGTGTATGTGTGTATGTAGGTCTGTATGCCACGGAATTTTCGTTAACGATTTCTCCCGAATGACTCGCGCGATCAAGATGATGGAGGACGCAATCGAAAGGTCTTCATGTAACTTAGACCTGATTAGATTTTGGAGTGATTCACTCCAGTAGTTCTTCCAAATTTTCCTGGAGAAATGTTTGAAAATGGCTAAGATAAGTATTTCTCCTGTATAAATGACGTGATTGGCATTGTCAACATCAGGATATCACTAGAGTCAATCACTCCAGTGATTTATCTAGGATTTTCTGAAACTCCAGTGATTTTTCCAGTGGTTTTTCCAAAATTCCCTGGAGAAAAGTTTGAAAATCGCTCAGACAAGGATTTCTCATGAATAAATAAACAGAGTATTGAGAGTTGAAAAGGATTCTTTTAGTCAAAATGGGAGGAATAATAATATCGGGAAGTTGTTGGCGCGACCCGTCCGACGGGTCATTCTATATTTTTTTTGCATATATACCAGATTAATCACAGGAATTTCGTACGAAAGTAATGAATCATTGAATACTCACTGGTGCCTTCGCTGTAACGTTGTAATCAACAGCATAGCCTCGGGCTCCATCCATGTAAGCAACTGTGACATCTGCTCCCTCCATCTGACTCTTCTTCTCAGATCCGGAAAGTCCAAATGCCATGTACCCATCCTCCTTAATTTGACCACTCAATTGTATTGTAATCTGCGGCCCGAAGATCTCCCAGCTTACTTGATAATTTTTGTGAAGTTGCACGCAGTTTGGGAGCGCCTCCACGTGCTTTATAATCTAAGAATCAATTAATTCATTGGTACACACGACATAAGAATTCGTACATTCGTTTATTTTATAATTGATTCGAATATTTCATAATTGATTTTGTAATGAGAAAACTTTTCCGATACTTTTTCGTTGAACTTATTCATACGTTCAGTGTGGTTTTTAGTCACATAAAATAGTCCCCCCTTATTCTCAATTTTCCTCCAATTCGAAATCTTTGACATTTCATCTGAATTGAGTGTATCTTGTTTGAGTGGACCTCTTCTCTAATCAATTCTCATAATACTTCCTCATTAATGGTTTATAATTACTATAAATATTCAACAGTACCTTGACTAATGACGGGGGAACGTTGAGGCCTTCCGGTATAACTACAGATCCATAATTGCTTTTCGTTGCAACATCAAAAATACTCAGCCAATTAATGTTACGGATTGTCATGTCACCTGGAAGCTGAATCACAATGTCCTCACCTTTGTAGTGTCTTAGAGGATCCAAACTGATCAGATCGGAAATTGAAAAAAAATTTAAAGTGAAAAGAGAATTTGCAAATAATAATTTTTATTATTTAGACTTACTATCCGTGTTCATCAGGTACTTTGGATCCAGTAGTAGAAGGTTGGGGGCCAGCGCCAACCCAGAAATAAGTGTCATTGCCTAAGCCATCGTAATAAAATGCTGAGATGCTGATGGTTTTTGCATCGAGGATTACTATGGCCTCTGAAGTAACTTCATGAGATCTTTTTGATAGTTGGGAGATTCTTTGGGGAGACGGCGGATCGAACTCGTCGGGAATATTAACATCTCCAAATGTATTCTATTTATAAAGAAGAAAATATTTAGAAAGCACAGTTGTACGAATACACATAAGGAAAACCGGAGTAAAATGGAGACAAAATGAAAAAAATGTCGATGGATGAGTGAGAATTTTTTTAATAGTATTTTCATACGCATACATCATGACCCAATAAACATTGTGTGGTAAGAAAGACGCCGAAATTTAATCGGAAGCTATGGTAGAAAACTAATATATAATACGTCGTATTGATTCATGCAAAATTCGTCGAAATATCCAACTAAAACATGTATACTTGAAGTCATATGTACACGTTTTATAAATGGATCGGCCACCCGCGTTTTATTCGTAGTACTGTCGACGTTTGATACTTGTCTAAGGTTGGAGGTACACGGAGAAAAAAGTGGATTAGCTTTAGAAACTAGTTTCTAGATTTTAGAAACTCCTGTTCCTAAGCGTTATCCTTGATGGCATCGATGGCATCATAAAAACTAACCAATTTGGGGATTGTTTTTAAGAATTAATATTTTCTAAAATCAATACTTTTTTGTTTTGTATTCATCCATATGTATACCCTCTCGGGTCTTTACATTTTCTTCCCATCCCCTTTTTATCTGCGCTACCATGGCCGATTTACTTTTCCCCAACTGCACCCATTCGGACAAGGACTGCCAGGGAAACCATACAAAACCTCAGTCGTGTAGCCGGCCGATATTGCAGGGATTCTATTGTGACCATCGGTCACACTGACTTGATGGGCACAGTATGTCTCTACATTCGTGCCTAGCGCCAGTAGTCACATGCGGACAGGTACGGCTAAGCGGACACCCATCCAAGTACTAGGCAGACTAAACGCTGCTCAGCTTGGATGACCGCCGGAGCCGTACGCTACACTGAGAAAAAAATGTTTCAAAAATTAGTGTGGTACTCATCAATGCTGGGACATAACAGGGGGTCATCGAAAAATTCGAATGTGGCACTCCAATTTTTATAGGGACTTGCGCCACTACTTCGCACGATGCCCGTAAAACTTAGGGTGCCACATACGAATTTTCTGGTGACCCCCTGTTATGTCCCAGCATTAGTGAGTAGCACACTAATTTTTGGAGGGACTCTCACGGAATTATGGTGTATTTTTCTCTCCGTGTACCCGCGTGACCACTACTGTCACCTCTAAAATCAATATTTAATCTTTCTTAATTTTAGAACACTTCCAGATTGAACTAAAAAATTGTGAAAAAATATACATAGGTAGGGGTGCCCAAATATCGGGAGTTTCACATGTACGGAGGGGGGGGGGTCGTACATGGCAATTTCTTAAGGGGGAGGGGGCTTAATCAATTGGGAGTAGAGGTTCATATAGATGATTTCATTTATGGCAGGGGGGCTCGTGTAAAAGTTGGGCAAAGTGGGGAGGGAAGTTGTAATAAATTCTTGATATACTTAGTCGTTGGTGAGTTTTTCAAAGATATCTCCGAAACTAAGAGAGGAAGATTCTACTGAATTCTCGATGTATGACACCCTCCCTTCCCCGAATTTTTCAATAAAAATTCGCTATCTCTCTTAGGGAGGCCTGTACTGAATTTTTGATGTACAACCCCTCGCCCCCGCCCCAAATAAACCCCTTGTAAAATAACCCTCCCCAACGATAACCCACCCTTTCTCAAAATGACCCTATTTACAAAACCCCTCTCTTTACAAAACCCCCCTCTTTGCAAAATTCCCCCTCAAAAATTGAAAAAATTTTCTAGATTTTAGGAAATATTTTTTCTAAAATTGAGTATACTTTGGTTTAAAGTTAATCCCAATTTTGATCATTGATTTTGAACAATTTTTGTCTAAAACTTAAAAAACAGTTCCTAGATTTTGGAAAACTGAAAATTAGAAACCACGGTATCTAAAATTTAGAAACTTTTTTCTAAAGCTAATCCACTTTTATTTTCTGTGTTCTCGGACGTGGGATACACGTTCAATGTTGAACGAATTGTTTACATGCAAATCTGGGGCTCATTAAACGTTCATTTTATACGTTATTTATAGGCTTTTTGAAAGACGTTTATTATACCGTTTATATCCAGAAAAAAATACGCCCGAAAATGATGAAGAACAATGTATTTATTTATTTATTAAGCAAAAAGATATATCCTTCAACTGCTTTTATGCTCTCACTTTCCATGAAATACAGCTTGAATTAAACAAAAAATGGGATAACATGGAGGTCTTCTCCTCAAAATTCCCAAGAAATACAGTAGGAAAATTTAGCCTCAAATTTTTCGATACTTTTTTCGGGATCTTTCGAATACTATAGCCGAGAATCAACGGCTCTATTATATTACAGGGACCCCACTTGAGTGAACGTTTCAGACTCGAAATGCTTCGATCTAATTCAATGAATTCGAAAATACCTTAAAAATATTAGAACATAGGGTGACCTTTTACTATTTAATTATTATAATTTCCTAAAAGGGGATTAGGGCAACTAAATAAGAAGGACAAATGTGGGATAAAATTAACTGAATATTTATATTTCCATTAATTTACATTGTAGATCGTCGTGTGACGCTTGAAATGCCTTTTACTTCGATCTAGGGTCATGGGTAAGGCCAGGCAACTTTTGTTCACGTAATAAGGGGAGATTCTAATAGAAATTGGGTAACAACGGGGGAGATTCTAGGTGTATCGAGGGGAAGATGACAACGTATGATGATTCAATTAACGGGGAGAAAAATAACCAAGTGTGACGCACCGTTGGGGGGGGGGGGGAAAGAAATACTGTTTAAGGCGAGGGGGAAATGAGGGGGACAACTTGTACTCACGTCGACTCTCGGGTGCACTTAGCACGTGCGTTTATCCTCCCAAAAAGCACAGAACTTCTCCAGGTAAGGGCCTTCCTTCCTACTCCTCGATTCCTGGGCACCAATGTAGATTGGGATGAGCTCAGGGTCTCCAAAAATCCTCTTTCTGATAATCCGGGGCGACTTCCGCAAATAATGGGCTCTCTTGTTTTTAACTATTTACACGTGGTAACACTCGGGGCAGCTGGCTTACGAGTGACGGTCTTTTCTTTTCCTTCGCGATTCGTGGGGGTTCGTCAGGTGTCGATGTCCTTCGGTTTTTAATTCGGGAGCAATCGGGGCGTATCAGCACGGGTGTGTGGTGACGATGACCACAATCCAGGGATGTCTCACAAGGGATTATTGCAGGTGTTGAATATTCGGGGGTTCAGTATGGGGAATTTTCAGGGGGCGATGGCTTCTCCAATTGATCGGGTGGGGCCGGAACTGATGTCTTCCTTCGGCTGATGTCTTCGTGATGTCAAGGGGCGGCGGTAGAGGGGCGATGAGGGGAAAAGCGAGGGAAGAGATAACCAACGGTGGCGAGAATTTATGTTTTAGGGGGCAGTGTGTGTTGGGGAAAAATATGTATAAAAATAATAAAAACTAAATGAATATACCTCGTCACAATAGATTTTGTGCTATTTCCGACTTTATTTTCTTGATCTGATTAATTTTACGGTAAATTCAGACAATTTCCGATCAAAATCATATTTCAAAATTCTTAGCTCGTATCCGTAGAAAGGGAATGAAAATGAAAAACAAAGAATGAATAATTGGACAATCGATTTTTCATGGTTTGATAATGTATTTACCATTTTTATTCATTATATAGTTATTTTTATTGACACAACTCGCTTTCTTATATGTTATTAACCTCATAAACCATGGGAAATCAATATTCGGTATGTGCATTTCTTGTTTTTGAATTTCTTTTTGGTGCTGTCGCGAACGAGCAAACAATTTGGAAATATGAATTCGATGGTAAATTTTCCGAATTTTTCGAAAGATTGATCAGGTTATATGAAAAAATGGGAAACATTCAAATCAACAATTAACGTTTTATTTTTGAATTTTCACTATCATTCACTCTAATGAGGTGAAAGAGAAATATGAGCATCTTTTTTTTGAAATTCAGAAAATTTCCGGTAAAAAACTACGTATTGAATTTTGTTTGTTAAGCGTTTTTGAACTTCTTATATTAGATTGAAGGATTTTAATCTGATGTCGTTCATCCACGCGCAGCATCATTAATTGACAAATCGGATCATTGCTCGTTGAACAATTTAGTTTTTTAAACATAAGTATTCAAAGTTAACAACAAACAATTGATGAAAATTTTGAGGCCGGAATTGTCTGTGATATTTGGTGGAATGGCCTATATACATTTGATAGAAAATGAGTCCGCACAGTTTGATTGTTCTACGAAACTGATTCTCTTGAAATCTTCTATATAAAGCAAAAGCTCGTTTCTACGGGACTTAGGTTTCAACACACAGCCCAAACTACTAAAGCTACGACCATGAGCTTTTGCCTACACTGTTCAAAATAATTATAAATTTACAACACTTTTTCGATAGGTCAGTATTAAAAAATTAAAAACTTGGTAACGTACTCAATGTGATGTTAGTTTTCAAGCAATTTTCCAATACGGATTTCTGAATTTACCTTACGGTATAACATAGATGCACTACGGTCCTATTCCTATTCTAAAACGAACATATGCAGTAAGCTGTAACGTAACGTTCATTCCTCGAATTTCATTGGTCGAACATTCGGATCCACCCGCATGTGTTCGACTTCGGTCGGCTTTCGGTCTTCTTGTCACGATTTGTCTCTAACACGTGCGCTCAAGCGCGCGATTGTTCTCGTACTGTAAAATTGCAACACGCGCATTGAACTTCGCTATGCGTTGAATTTTTCCAACACATGTGGTGGAATTCTCAGTTATTATTTGACTTTTTACAGCACAAATGTGTTGTAAAAATACAACTGAATGTATAACAAAATATCAAATTTGTGGACCTCTTTATATGTTGAAATTTTCCAATCCGGGTACTGGAATTTTCAGGTATGAGTGGAATTTTTACAGCACTAATATGATGAAAAGTTACAATCAAATGTATGACAAATATAAAATTCGTCAATGGAAATTGTGCATCGATACTTGCATTACATAATCAAAAT